GTTGGACAGGATTTGTAGGTGGGATTGAACTCATCCTTGGAATGGTGGATCTGCGAGAGTTGAGAGAACTTCAACACTCTCCTTGACTACTATTTAAAGAACTGTCAAAAGAACAGAGACTGGGTCTATCTTGTTCACCACAATTTCACAGCCTTATTGCTGTGCCTTGTACATAGGAGCTAAATAATCCTTGAGGTGTTGACTTAAACTGTGCTAATATGAATTAATAAACAAATAGTAGGGTGACTTTCATTTCAATAGATTAATTTTGCCCCACCTCCCAAATAATTTTCACGACCTCTAGTTTGAAATACAAACTCCATCTGTCTTTTTTCTCATTTCTTTTCCTCCTTTCTTCCCTGACTTGCTCTCTCTCATCACTTATTTTTTCTCTTCTTACCCAGCCATTTTTCCCCCGTGTCTGACATTATTTACTCTATCCCATTCTTTCTCCTCTCCAAGGATTTGATTTCCTTTGATACGACGGATTCACAGCAGCATTCTCTCCATTCACTTTCCTGCCTCTTTTCCCATCTTAACCACAGCTGCTAGAATTGCCTTTTTTTTTCTTTCTTCCTAATACCCTTTCACCGTCTCATTTCCCTTGTCAAGAACCATTTGCTCACCCATTTAGGTAAATGCAAAGACTCACCTCTCTTCCCTGAGGCCTATTTTCGTATTCAGTTTCATACTATCCCTGCCATTTAGCTTTGCAGTCCTCATCTTAACAACCTAAGCTAAATCCATCTAGGCTGTCTTCAGCTTTTGGAAGATGATCAGAAGAACTCCCTGAATAATAGACATTTTCCCTTTTTACCATCAGCCTACAAAATAAAACCGTATTAATCTGGAAGTCCTAACTAAAGAAGGCATCATACCAAAGAAGCAGAATTAAGTCTTTCCCTCTCTAAGGAAGAGTTTTGCACTGAATAATACCATGAATAAGATGACGTGGGAATGTTCAACCTATGCAAGAACACTCTACTGTCATAAATATTTGCACATGAGTAACAAGTTGCCAATTCTAATTCTGTCCAAGTACTTTAGTAAACTTTAAAGGATGTGCAATCTCTCAACGCAAACATTGACAACTTTTTTTTTTTTGAAGTTAGTTGTTTGGAAATCTGATTGTATCTTCCCACAGGAATCCTAATAAAATATGGCTTATGTTCCCAGCTTAATCCACAAAAACATATTCCTAATGCACCAAAAAAAAAAATTCTTATTGTACAATAGAAACAGTTTTGGTAATGACATCTTAATGGAAAATCCACTGTGAATTGGGATTTGGGATTTCAGAAATGTATCTCTCACAATGCTACCCAGGCAGTGGGAGTATGGATTTTCAGTGCAATAGGTAGTCCAGCTAAGGAGTCGTCCCTCAGTGACATGGTTATGACTCAGGGATTGGGTGAGAAACTTGGGTTTGAGGACTAGTTAAGGGAACTTGTTTGGAGAAATCTTGTTTAAGTAGCAAACTTTCTTCTTTTTTTTCCCCTCCCTTAACTAGTTACAAAAGGAGATGGGGAGAGAGGGTAAAGAGAAAGTTTTGCAATGTTCATGCTCTTTCCTTTCCCCACAGTTAACAATATGTGCTAAGGAGATCCAGGGATAAGGGAGGAGCAGTATCAGCAGGGAAGGAATACGGCACTTTAGTTGCATTGAAACCTACATGTATAAATAACAAAAAATAAGTTATGAAGAATTTTAGCTCAGAAATCTTATAAAATTAGGGAAATTAAAGAAGTAGATATTTCAAGAAAAAAGTGGATATCATTTTAAGTCACCAAAAAGTTGAAGGAAAAAAAGGGAAGACATATCCCAAATTATAAGTTCCTGTACACACTATACACACTATATGTGAATAAAATCATTTTTAGTAAACAAAAAGACAGAACATGAACATTTTAAGAGAAATTTGATCAAATAAAAGAAAACTTTCAACCATTTAAAAATCCATAAAAATTTCCTAATTTAGATTTTAAAAGTACACTGCTTGCTTATTTACTGTATATACATTATAATATATATTAAATAGATTTAATGTGTAGTTTATATAAATTTACTCAAAGAAAAAGTGGATTCGTGGTAACTGGTAACGTAAGATGTAATTGTATAAAATACTATAACTCTGCTGCACATATTGATAATCACATTTACTACACCATTTCTAAGTGTTCATATTTTTAGATAGACAAAATTTGTTCTTGGAGGTAAAAGCCTATTTAGTTTCTACTTTTTGCAGAAGAAATTTCCCAAGAGTAGATTAGAGGCTGGGAAAGTAATACATTATGATAGGTGGTAGGGAATATAAAAATACAGATGGAAAGGAGCCTGTATATCAAGACACATCTGTAATTTATAAAAAATCTCAGTGCATAGTTAATAATCATTAAGCACTAAATTAAAAACTCCATTAAGAACTACTTAATTTAAAATCTAAAATTGGAAGTTTCTTTTGAAAAATGTTATGATGATGATATAGAGTTAAGAGGTAGGTCAAAACTTTTCCTTGGGGACATACCAACAACTCTTTGCCTATTTTTTGTGCCATAGAAAGATAATGTGAGTTATTTCCTGGCTTTGCATTTCCCCTCATGCCAATTCTTCCCGAATCCATGGTTTACCATTTTGTTGTGACAAGAGGGAGACATTTTGAACAAAATGATCATGTGATTCGAGTGTCCACTAAAGGCAAACAGATAGCCAAGGTGAAGGAAAACCAGAGCAAGTCACCATTTTAAAATGCCAATTCTATCTTCCTTGAAAGGTTCCAAAGTTTTCAAGTACAGACAGTTAGATAGACTTTACGTTTTTAAGAACCATGATATATTTTCAAGTCTTGGTTACAGTGATCTATCATGTTCTGCCCATTCTTGGCTCCCTACGCTGGTTTGTCACTGGTTTATCATCTTTCCTCTGCTCATTAACTGTGGCTGTGAACTCAAGATTTATTATGAACATGTCCTTCTTCTTAGCTATTTTCTTTAACATCTCATTAACTAATATGCTTTCAATGCTGTCTTTTTGTCCCGTTTTCCAAGTCTTTATACCCATATCTGAAATTTCCCCTCTTTGTTTTGTCTGTAGGACTCTTGCACTTGGACACTGTCGCAGATGTAGGTGCCAATCCTCACCACTGCCTCCCTCCAAGGCAGCTTGAGGATACAGGTTCCACACGTCCTACGGCTGCCTGCATTCCTCTAGCAGCTGGAGAGCGCTGGACCTTCTCGGCCAGACCAGAAGTGCCGGGGAGTTAACACCCAGGCACAATTCTCAACAATAGAGCAAGGGAGTTTAGTAGATAAATACATCAATTTCCCCGGCCTTTCAGTGGGCAATTCTGAGACAAGCTCTATGGTCTCTCACAGCTTCCTCAGGAATACATCTGTTTCCTGGCCCACTTGCCTCTCCTGTGTCATTTCCCTACTCCCTCACGATGCTTACTGGGATTGTCTTCCAAAGAAATTACTTGTAGCCAAATCCTTATCTAAAAGACTGCTTTAGGGTAGGCAGAGGTAATCCCAGCTAAGACAGAGGTCCTATTAATACTTAAAATGTGTTACAGATTATAATAATCTCAAAACCAGCACCCCAACTCCTTCTATCCCCTGTTATTTTACCTTTTTGCCTTCTCTTGAGAGCTGAGTGCTACAGGGGTAGAGGTTTTTACAGACATACTTGATTTCTGCCCCTAGTTTTATGGTGTCACCCCAGGTGAGTCCATGGATCTCTTCTGATTCGGGGTGTGTGTGTGTGTGTGTGTGTGTGTGTGTGTGTGTGTGTATCAGATGGTTCTTTCCAGGGCTGTTTTAAGCATTAATAAAATAAAGCATGCAAAGCACCTTTTACTTTGACTTCATCCCATTATAATGCAGCAGTTTCAAATTTAGGAAATAAGCTACAACTTTCTTTTCTGGGCTTTTTTCCCTCCAATAATTGAGCCAACTTAGAAAATAAGAGTGGAAATCACAAATAATAAGAGTATTCTCTGATATGAATATAAACTAATTACACAACAAACTTTTTCTCATGAGTGTGGTATGAGAGTACATGGGGTTTTTTGTTTTGTTAGATAGCCTTAGACACGGAGCTCATAAAAACTATAATAATATTCTCATGGTCTAGTATGAGAATTAGCCCACAACAAACAATTTGGATATTGATCCACAAAGATATCATGAAAATTATTTATTTACAAAATAATCCAAGGCATTTGGCATATCAAGGGGAAAGAGACGTAAGAGGAACTCAATAAATAGCTATGTTATTCATGGGTACCGTGGTGTTAAAGGTAAAACATTAATAATGGCTTTCCCTTCTCCATAGCTTCCTACAGACCACAATCAGTATTAATATTGAGTGTGTTGTTTTTTACCGACTCTTCATTTCTGACAACTCCCTTCTTTTGGACTTTCATCTTCCTACACATTCTTCCCCTTCCTCAAATTTCCTCATTTTCTTCAATATGATTTATAGCTCTAAAGATTTTTCTGTTGACTGCATTCACATTTAATTATAAATCATGTCTTCAGCAGTTGGTTTATATTGAAAATGTAGATCAAATTCAGTATCTGTCTGTAATGAATCAAAAGTCACTGGTATGATCAGTCTCAATAATCAGAGTCTGTGTGGATTTACGGCAACATTATTAGTACATGATTAATCAGTACCTAACGCAAACCAGTTCATACCCGACATCCACTAAGTCATTTTATCTTACATTAAAGTCCTGTGGCACTGTTTCAGATCAGTTAAAGAGTTCTGCTTTGTATGATAGTACATTGTTAAACTTGCCATCTGGCCCAACAGCTGATGTGGCTCACACAACCCTGGAGAGGCCCCAGAGCTTTACTCCTGGGAAATATTTGGTCTACTGTGTGGTGTCATGATTACTGGTTCATAGCTTTTTTATAGCCATTGAAAAAAATTGCAGAAAAATCTCCACATTGAGGAAATCCTAAATTTAAATTAATTTGTTAGGAAAAGAATTCACTTACGTGAGGACCAGGTTGACCCTGAAATTGAAAAGAAAAAAAGAAAAAAGAAAAACAATTACAAAATTGCCTTTTTAAGTAACTATTTCACTAGCAAAACTTAATCTAGTTCTGAAAATCTTTACAAAATGTTTTTGAAGATAATACTAACTACTGACAAATTTTACATTGTGGTTTTAAAAAATCATATTATATCTTAATATTTTTATTCTATGCGATTTATCTGAAGTCTTGCTATCATGGTCTATTATATGTTAACTCCAAAATGACTCAAGGGCTTTAGTATGCTCTAGAGTTAAATTGGAGAAAAAGAAGGAAAAGGTGAACTACGTTATCGTAATGAATGGGTTACTTCAATGGAGGGCCTTCTAGCACAGACTATTACTATGAGTTACTATTCAAAGAGCACAGTGACAAGAAAAAATGAGGCAGATATTTTTAGTTTTAGAATTCCCGGAGTCTTTGGATTTCTCATTGTTTCAATAATACCTTAAGTCAATTTTGAAAATAAATACCTATCTTTTACTCTGTACAATCCAACCTAAGGGCATTTTAAAAGAATATAAGAAGCCTTAGGCTCAATTAAAGTGCATCATCACTCCTCACTTGGTCAATAGATCATGGAATCACTGGACAATCTAATTCAATTTGACTGTCACTTTCTTGTTGTTTAAGCTGATGAAAATTTCAAAGCAGCATAACTGTAAATGCCTCTCAAGGAAAATCACCTGTGAATAAAAGCATTGAGTACATATCGCCTTCTTAAAACCTCTAATTGTGTTTCATATAAGATGAGATGAAAGAAAAAGTGTACACCGAGTTAAGGAATCTTTAAAAATAAATTAATAGTGTACAGTCTCATTGTACCAGCTGTATGCCACTGAGTATCAATATGGAAAAGCACAGAACTAATACAACTCCCAAAGAACACTCTCCTTCTCTCTCCCTCCCTCCCTCTCCTTTCTCTCTCTTTCTCAGACCCTCTCCAGGCTTGGAATTTCTCTAGGTACTTATTCTCTGACTGGGGATAGAATAGATGATTTTTAAGAGCTTTGTCTGAAAATGTGGTTAGCCAGGTTTTACCTAATCAAGCCAGGAAAGGAAGCTAAACCAGTTACTGTGGATGCTACTCACACCACTCCTGTATTATAGTGGTAGAACTTTCCAAGTACCGGGCACTTTTGGACATATTAGTCCATTTATTCCCTATTACTGCTCTGCATTTTACAAATGAAGAAACTGAGGCTCATAGAAATAAACTAATAGTCACACAGCCTATAGGTGGAAAAGCCAGATTTTAAACCCAAATCTGATGCCAATGTTCATGCATTTTCTACCAGGTCATTCTGCCTCTCCCAGTTGTACAACAGACTTGCTCAGATCCACAATGGTATCAGAGCACCCTTCAACTGAGTGGATGCTCTAAACTTCCCAACCACTCCTGGACTGCAAGCAACAGTGTGACTCTCTGCTTGGAGATGCAGACCTAGAACAAGCAGCCACCCAGTCTGGTAACTGATACCTGTGCACAAACCAGGTCAGCCAAGGTTCTTGAGGGTAACAGACAACCTAAAATTAGCACTAAACATGGGGAACCTACAAAGGCAAGGCTCTCCACCCACATGCGAATGCAGAACTTCCCAGATCCATGTAATGGATGAGATTACAATACGTGCCCACTCCCACTTGTACTCTGCCTCTCTCTCTGGATGCTTTAAGCTTCTGATCTTCCTGAAATTTCAAACTAATGCAAACTCAGAAATGTGAACATGCATCTTTCAAAGAAACCCAGAATACATTACATCTTTTATAAGTTTTTATTGTGTGTGAAAACCCAAAGGTAGGATTGTCTAAAATCAGAAATACTTTTGACAAAAGAATAGAGTTTAGCATCATTGCTGAGATCGTTTGATTCCTACAATTGTTCTACAGATGACAGACTTTTCCTGTCTTTAAAATGTGGCCTTCCTGGGGCACCTGGGTGGCTCGGTGGGTTAAGTGTCTGCCTTTGGCTCAGGTCATAGTCCTGAGGTCCCGGGATCAAGCCCCACATTGGGCTCCCTGCTCATTGGGCAGTCTGCTTCTCCCTCTGCCCCTCCCCACTTTGCTCATGCTCTCTCTCCTTTAAATAAATAAATAAAATCTTTTTTTTAAAAAAAGATTTTATTTATTTATTTGACAGAGAGAGACAGCGAGAGAGGGAACACAAGCGGGGGCGGTGGTGGGAGAGGGAGAAGCAGGCTTCCCGCTGAGCAGAGAGCCCGATGCGGGGCTTGATCCCAGGACCCTGGAATCATGACCTGAGCCAAAGGCAGACCCTTAATGACTGAGCCACCCAGGCACCCCAATAAATAAAATCTTTTAAAAAATGTGGCATTCCTGCCATTGCACTGAACAAAAGATTTTAGTACAATGTACACATATATTTATATGTTACTATAGACAAATACACATGTTCTGGACTTTATGTTAGTGGTGGTGAAAACAAACCATAAGTGACAGTAAGATTAAAAAGTTGACTTTTATATAGGCATTATAAATTATATAGTACCAGGAAACTCAGACTACTGTAATATGTGATATGAACTTCAACTGTCTATGGTGTGCATGAGTGAGTGTGTGCGTGTGTGTGCATGTGTGTGCGTGTGTGTGTGTGTGTAGGGTGGGGAACATGAAAAGGAGGGATGGAAGTGGGTTAGTAGACAGGCTTCCCCCCAAAACGATGCATATAACGTGACAAATTTGATAACTCTCCCTAAAACGTGGATTACACAGCGCAAGCCTTACAAATGTTACACAAGATTCCAGGACTGCCTACATCAAATCTTCTCACTCCGTGGGATGTAACAAAGATTCCCCAGCAGACGCCTAGAATATTGTAATGTAATGTCTAATGGCTGGAGTCTCTTAGTCTTCCCAATAGAGCTATCTGGATAAAGGAGGAAAAGTGATCAGAGGACAGGTTTCAGTGGGCATGGCAGTGCCAGCTTCCCCTATGGGAGTGCAGAGCATAGAAGGAGACTGGACAAGAGCCCAAAAGTGAACAGCATCTCAGAAACTCCCTGGTGATTGAGGACACTGGCCATGAAGACTTCTTCACAGACAGATCACCAAAAGAAATATCTCAGAATTCCTGTAAGTTGCTTCTGAGTAGTTCATTGAGAAATCCAAGTATTCTCATTCAACTGTGGGTATTTTTCTAGTCTATTCTAATTTACGGGTAGTGAACCTTATTAGTAATCAACTGTGAAAGTTAATTTTTTTTGGTTTTCTAAAACACACTCCTAATGAATAGTTATCAATTGCGACTAAGGCTTACATAACACAACTTACGTTGAATTTTTAAAAATGGAATTCCTTAAAAGGATGCTTTTCCCAAGCAAATCACCAAGCTGTTTCTAAAACTCACATCTAGGATAATCAAGAGCCACCCCAAGGGTTAAATCACAGAAATACTGAAGTTTGAAAAATAGATGCAAAGGTGGAGAATGCTGAGTGCGTGAGTCACTGCTTTACTGTATGTCAACAGCTCGATGCAATGCCCTCCAGGCAGCTAAGGCACCAGCGTGAAGAAAAAGAAACAGCAGGAGGAGTGACTTTAAAAAGTGGTAATCAGAACAGCATGGTAGAAAACAATCAGCCAGTAGCTGATGCCTGACAGAAAAGTGTTCAAAGGAAGTTGAAAGTTTTGTGAGGCAAATAAACCACAATGGAGCCTGATAAATGAGATGACCTATCACTTGAGTACGTATTGTTACTTTAGGCAATTAAAGAGCCATATTAACCGTTCGGTTAGGCTGTTATCACAATTATGGCTGCCAGAAAGTGCTAACATCCTTCGCTAAATCGACAAAGCCATTTAGATTTCTGACTGAGGCAATTAGTTTCACTACATGATATTTTTTTATGGATGGTAAATCTGTGTCACTCCTTTTCAGATGGGAAAATGCCGTTTTTCCATTAACACATGCACATCTAGGCACACAAATTTGTACTTTCAAAGTACAATCTTACTTTGAAATACTAATTAGGATAACAGACCCACATACATCTTTATTGTGATAAATTCTGAAATAAAAACACTCTGATTTACAAAAACTTGAGGGAATATTAGTACTGTTCATGCAACTCTAAAAGGTGCTACCTCTGCTTCAAGGTAATTAGAAAGAAATTACTTCAATAACTTAGAAACTCATCCTTATCAATCCCAAGCTTGCTACTACATTTAGTACCCTCAGATGCAGATTCATTCCATTCCCTTGAATTGAAAGAAAATACTTCAAAATAATAATTTCTAGGTTTTGCATTTTGGAACCCTTACTGTCTAAAAAGATCATTGGAAGATGATTACTGTAACTTCATTATCTCTTGAAAAGTCTCAAATCCACACATTCGGATGTCAATTTTATTTTTCTTTTCAGGTGAAAATAGCATCTAAAGTAGGCATCCGGGTAAAGCTTTAGAACATCATAGGAACTCTGAGTGGCAACAGGATCGTCCTGGTGGCAGGATGTTTTGAGGACCAATAGATCCTAGCATTAAGCCATCTCGGTGGGATTCCTCAACCTTTTAAGAATCTCAGGCTGACCTAGAGTCTGTGCCACTAAGTGGAACAGATACACTCTACCCCTGCAGTACCAGGAAGAGGAATCTTGCCCATCCTCACCACATGGTGAATTTGTTGACATTTCATCCCCAGTATCCCAGTGCCCAAGTAATAAGGTACTTCAGAATAAATTGCTAAAAGGCTAGACTATTTTGACTGGTCCAAAGATGGTGTCTAGTACCTTTAAGGAACTACTAGTAAGTCTGCTATTCTTACACTACAGGATTATATTTTTAAAATGTCCCTTCTCAATCTAATAGTCTCTTTGCTTCTCATCACTGCAGAATAAACACATCTATGTCAAAGAAGAAATCTTTCCCCTCAATGGAATCTTATCCAGATAATAGAGATGGAACTAAGACAGAAGCTGGCAGAGACCTCAGAGGAGGATGTACATACCTATACACATGCCACT